ATAGAAGAAAATATCGGAACTAAACTCAAGATTCGTAGACTTAAAGAGAATTTTCTGAATTTGACCTCAAAAGCAAGGGAAGTCAAAGCTAAAATGAATGAATGGGACTACAGCAAACTAAAAAGTTGCTGCTCAGCAAAAGAAATCGTCAACAAGTAAAGAGACAACCATCTGAACGGGAAAATATGTTTGCAAGAAACAGCTCTGATAAGGGCCTAATATCCAAAACATACAAAGAACTCATACAACTCAATAACAAACAGAAAAACAAATGATGCAATCAAAAATGGGCAGAGGACCTGAACAGACACTTCTCCCTAGAGGACATACAAATGGCCAACCAATATTTTTAAAGATGCTCAACGTCACTAGCTATTAGAGAAATGCAAATCAAAACCACAATGAGATACCACCTCACACCTGTTAGAATGGCTGTAATCAACAGGACAAGTAATAAATATTGGAGAAGATGCGGAGAAAAAGGAACCCTCGTACACTGCTGGTGGGACTGTAAATTGGTACAGCCACTATAAAAAACAGTATAGAGGTTCCTCAAAAAACTAAGAATTGATCTACCATATGATCCAGCAATCTCTCTACTGGGGATTTACCCCCAAAGACTTGAAAACCCATATCCGAAAAGATATTTGCACACCGATGTTCATAGTAGCATCATTCACAGTGGCCAAGACATGGAGCAACCAAAGTGTCCTACAATAGATGTTTGGCTAAAGAAGCTGTGGCACATATATACAATGGAATATTAATCAGCGATAAGAAGAAATGAAATACTGCCATTTGTGACAACGTGGATGGACCTCAAGATAATCATGATAAGTGAAATAAGCCAGACAGAAAAAGTTGAAAATCACATGATATCACTTATATGTAGGATATAAATCTAAAAGCAACAAGTGAACAGGGCAAACAGACTCATGGACATGGACAATGGACTAGTGGATACCAGAGGGTAGAGGGTGTGGGAGGAGGAAGGAGGTAGACAGGGTAAAGATGGTCAAATATAGGGGGGTAGGTAGAGGGTGAAGTAGGTAAAGGGGATCAAATATATGGCAGCTGAAGGAAAATGGATTTTGAGTGCTAAACACACAAAAGAATATACAAAAGTCAAATTGTAATGTACACCTGAAAATTATATAATTGTATTAACCAGTGTTACCCCAATAAACTTAACTAAAAAAAAAAAAATCTCCACCCTAGCAGTGAGTTTATGATATCTCCTACAGTCTTTGCATAGGTAATCCCGCATCTCAAGAAAATGCCCCCAAGTTGAAACTTTTCCATCTAGTCTTAACATTCTAATATATTTCCCCTAATCAAGTTATCCCACAATCCAATCCCAGGGGTACTTCTTATCTCCTGTCAGTATGTGCTAGCTAATTCCAAAAACTCTAGGTATATAGTTTCCTCCCCTATCAGTTCTTGCCTATTCCCAGCAAGAGAGTATGCTGTCTTTTAACCCTAGTTATCAGCCTAGCAGCCTGGAGAGGAGGTGAGAGCAGCTCTTGAGATGTATCTACCTCTTACCTCACCGATGCTAACTCTTACTAGGGAAAAGTGAGTCACCTCTGATAACCCAAAGCCTTTGGGGCATCTGCAGTGCCAACATCCTCAAGGGCAACCAGCTAGATATTCTCATGCTATGGTTTAGTATCATGGGGTTTCCAAACAAGAGTCCTGACCTTAGAAAAACAGACGTTTTTTGGCTGAATATCCACACATCTCAGGTGCTCTACGTCTCTAATTTTAGCCTGTTACTCGGTGGTATATCATTGCAGGAAATAAGGGCATTTTTAGTAAGTTACCTGACGGATGCTCTGGTTCTCACATCTAACCATTCACCACTTGTCAATAGCCCTCAAATCTTATGATCCTTCTGCAGGGCATCAATACAACTTAGAAAAAAAATTCCACTGTCCTTGTAGGTTTTCCTCCCATGTTTTTCAAATGCTTGAGGCATCACACCTGCAACAGCATTTTCTTCTGCTGGGACATTTTCTTAGTTCACCATCAGTGAATTTTTTAGCAATTGAGCCACCACCTTGTGTGAGGAACTACCTATGCTCTACCTACTAAGTAGGATAGCATTATCTTCATCCACTAGGCAGTTAGTGAGCCACTCCCAAATCCTCATCTTACCTTCTGCTTGCTCTGACCACTCTTGGTTCTTCAAGAAGCAGAAAAGAAGATGAGATTAGATATGTGAAATTTATTGTAGGTTATGCCTATGAGGGACATGTGGAGGGAGCCAGATGCTGGGCAAGCCATTGGATCACAATGCCAGTCAGACCTCTATAAATGCTTGAGGAAGGGTAAAGAAGGGAGGTCTTAGACTTTAAGCTTCAGTAAGGCTAATGAGTCCTGGAGCCATAGTTGCCTGTCAGAAGTGTTCTGTTTCACAGGAATGGGCCTACCCTATATCCCTAAAATATCCAGTCATTGGCCAGCAGCAGTTTGTGAAAAGTGTGGTT